CTTCTAGGCCAATATAGTGAATTTTAAAGCTTTATTGATAGTAAATTTAGTGATTGAAAATTTAGTAATTTAAGTCATTCTACCTACTTTTCGTTTTGAATGGATTGTTGTCACTTTTTTCACATTTTAATTGAATTGTTTCTTTTATTTTTGTGTGTGGTTAACAACCGAATAACCGAACCAAACCAAACCGAAACCGATAATAATCAAACCGATAAATGTATATTATATTTGGTTTGGTTTTGATAATTTTAAAACTGATTAAGTTGGTTTGGTTTTGGTTTTGATCAATAACCGATCCAAACCAACCCGTGAACACCCCTACTTTTGAGTGATCAAACTTATATACTTTCCTACTTATTTTTTTAAAAAAATTAATATACTTCCCTTTTCTTTTTAGTTACCATAATTTTCTTTCTGTTTTAGAATAAAATAATAAGAAGTCTAACTAATATTTTGATGTATTTTTTTTATTATATTAATATGTAAAAAATTGTAATTTATATTTTCTTTATCTCAATTTATATGACATTTTTTATTTTTCGAGAGTCAAACAGTTTAAGTTTGACCGGTAATTTATGCATGAAATCTTCAAATTTTTTGAAATAAAATTTATATATTAGTAGACTACGTAAAAAGTACTATAAGTCAGAATAATTGATAGTTCAAAATGTTTAAAAGATCTACGAAAAATTTACGATAAAAAATACACTGATTTGAATCTTAAAGTCCAAAAAGTACCATATAAAATGGGATGGAGGAGTAATATTTTTCATATAGTTTTTAAATATCTAAACTTATAATATATAATATCAAATTAATGTAATCTAATTTAACAAAAGCGCAGCATGACAACTAAAAAGGAACCGAAAGAGTATTTTAAGATTGTTAAAAATAATTTGTATATTTAAAACTTATTCTACAAAACTGTTATAAATTATACAACTGAGTTTTGCTGATGATCTCCTTTTGTTCAGCAGAGGAGATGTACAATCAACTGTCCTAATCTATGAATGCTTTCAGCAGTTTTCACAAGTATCAGGTTTAATAGCAAATCAGGTCAAAAGTTGTGTGTATTTTGGTGGAGTGTCAGAGCAAGATCAACAACTGGTACTACAACATACAAGTTTCATAAAAGGCAAGCTACCTTTTAGGTATCTTGGAGTCCCTTTAAGTTCCAAAAAACTGTCAATAAGCCAATGTCAACCATTACTAGACAGGATGCTGGGAAGAATAAACACATGGACAGTGAAATTTTTATCGTATGCAGGGAGGCTCCAGTTGGTACAAAGTGTGTTAACATCCATTCAAGCATTTTGGACACAAATATTTCTCCTTCCAAAGAAAGTGTTGCAGCAGACAGAAACTATATGTAAGAGATTCTTATGGAATGGTGATGCACAAACTAAAGGGAAAGCTCTTGTAGTATGGGATAAATTATGTTGGCCAAAGATTGCTGGTGGACTGAATATTATAGATGTGTATGTGTGGAATAAAGCAGTAATACTCAAATATTTGTGGGACCTGTCTAAGAAAAAGGATAAGTTATGGATAGTATGGGTCCATACTTACTACATCAAAGATAGGAGACCATGGAAGTGCAAGCTAAACAAGCTTCTTGAGTTGTGAGAAAAATCCTACAAGCAGGGCATTGGATATCAGAAGCAGGATTACAAGTGACAGAGGTTATGGAGGCTGAAACATTCACAATTAAGGACATGTATAAAACACTTAGAGGTGAGTTGAGCAAGGTGCCATGGAGAAGAATGATATGCAATAATCAAGGCAGTCCCAAATGGACATTCATCCTATACTTGGCTATACAAAGGAGATTGTACACAAAAGACAGGCTAGACAAATGGGAGATAAACACTGATTCAATTTGCGCAATGTGCAAAGCAGAACCTGAAACACACCAGCACCTATTTTTTGCATGCAGTGTGGCAAATATGATATGGCAAAGACTACTTCAATGGCTGTCAATCACCAGAAGTAGTGCATGGTGGACTGAAGAGATAGAATGGGCAACACTGCATGCTAACATGAAATCAATACAAGATGAAGTGTATAGAATGACATTAGTTGCAGCTCTTTATTACATATGGCAATAGAGGAATCACAGAATTTTTCAGCAAAAGGAGATGAGCATAGAGGAAATTATAAAGCAAATCATTCAGGAAATTCATTGTAGAAGTAGCATGAATCCTAGACTGGCTAGTGCAATGCATAAACTAAATTTTTATCCTTAGTAGAAATTCTAGCATAGAGCATGGGCAAGGCAAAGGTGATGGGCTTTGAGACTTGGGTTTAAGCTTCAAATTTGTACATATTTGAAAATCTGGTAATACAATTACAGTTACCAAAAAAAATAAAATAATAATAATAATAATAGTAATAATATATTTAGTGAAATTTCATCAAGTGTAGTTTGAGGAGGATAAAATATATGCAAATTTTAGCATTACTTCATAGAGATAGTGAAGTTGTTCCTGAATTAATTTATAAATGTAATGACCCTTCCTATTGTTATGGATGAGCTATTCGTAAAAGAAAATGAGTGATGGAGCTCTTGGTTCGAAGAGTTGAAAATTTCAAACTAAATTCATACAAATCTGAGCAAGATGAGGTTTAGGACAATTCGGAAGAAAAATTTAATGAAATGTTTGAGTCGAGTTTATTTTTCTTATTGCTATGACGTTAAGATATTTATATAATTTTTTAAAAGTAAATTTGGGAGAATAGAACTCTCGATATGAAACTAAGTGTGAACAATTTTTTTTTATTTCTCAAAATCTAAAATATCATATTAATTGAGCTAGTGAAAGTATAAAGTATAACATTCATATTTCTTTTACTTTCCTTACTAAGGAGAGTGAGAGCTGCCCTTCGATTAGGATCCGAAATGCAATTTGTTGGGTATTTGGCTTAATTTCTTGGCATCTAATTAAGGGTGTGTGGGGTACGGAAAATGTTTTCCTGAAAAATAAGTAGATTTTTGACTTATCTTCTCATGTTTGGTTGGTGAGTAGAAAATATTTTTCGGAAAAGATTTGTTAGTGTTTGATTTATGAATGAAAAATATTTTTGAGAAAATATCTTTTATTTTTACTAGAGAGAGTATAAAATAATTTATGAATTGAAATTGAAAATATTTTTTAAAAATAAAGTTAATTTTTTTTTGGGGGGAGGATGGAG